GGAAAACATCCCCGGAACCTTTGTGCAGAACTTTTCACAGACAAAAAGGACTACAATTTAGCCTAGTGGAGATCAACCCTTGGGATTACAAACTGGGGAGTTTGATTTAGAAGTGGAACTGTAGGACTCAAGTGATGGAGTGGGCTTACTTTCATAAGCATCATGAATATACCCTTGCTACAACAGGCAAGAAAATCCCGCTGACCCCATGAGGCCTTTGTTTGTTGAACCTCAAATGTCCTGGCTTTCACCATGGTGCCTGTCACTAAGTCTCCACTGTTGCTAATCTCCTCTGAGGTATTCTCGCTATAAGAAGGCTCTCTACAACCATCCCCCCCAGCTTCCCCACCTCACTAGCCAGGATCACTCTAAAAAAAATCTGTTGCCTTCCTTTAGGGCCCTTCTCTCTGTAAATTGTTTGTTTGGGTACTATTGGGTGCCTCTTGTTACATGAGGAAAATTACTCCCAAATCTGAGAAAATGGAACAGAGGCCCAGCCACACCTGCAGAGGGCTGGTGGTTCATTCTCCTTAAGACTGCTGTTACCTCCCTACTACTTTCAATGTTTTCTTCTGCCATTGGCTGTGGGGTGTGCAGGACTTCTGCCATCTCACTTCCTCAGTATGAACATGCAAAGCTGAGGACATTCCATAAAGCAGGTGCCAGCTAAGACCAGAGCAGACTATTTGCCCTGAGCTGTACCCAAAAGACAGTCAGGCAGGAATCTTGCAGCATTTGAGTTTGGTGGCGGGAGTAGAAATCTTCAGGAGGCTCCTTACTCACCTGCCCACCTATGGGTGCTGGTGTCAGCCGAGAACTCAGCTGGACAGTGGGCTGGGACAGCATGTGTGAACTCGGCACGTGGCCCTCCTAGTGCTGAGGCTTGTGTCCAGCAGAGAGATCTGAGCACAGAGGAGGTGGAATTTGTATCTTTTGTACAACCTCTTCTGGGAGCCTGAAGAGCCACTTGTGCCCCACTCAATCACACAGACCCTACTGATGGTCAAGGGGGACCAGATCCTAACCTGGGCCAGGGACAGGCTCGAAGGGCACGGAGACCACAAGTGTGTGGGAAGTGCACTGACTGCTGAGGTCACTGCACAGGTGCTGGGACAACATGTCCTTGGGGTCCTGGAGGTTCTGGCTTTACACAGCTCCTACTGCAGAGAGGAAGAAAGAAGCACAGCTGGGGCTCCTGGGTGTGGGGAGGGGTACAGCAGTTATTTTTCTAAAGAATATACTTCAGGAGTGTTGATTCTGTGCTACTCACCCTCTGGATGCCTGTGTTTCATTCTCTGACACTTTCATGGTTCAGGCACACTACACGCCAAGTTACAAACATGTGAATTTCACACTTGCAGATAGGAATAGATAGGAATAGACCTCATTACAAACATCAATGGGGTGAACAAATCACAGAAGCAGCTCATGTTGTTTACAGTTGCTGTAGTGTACTGTAACACTTTTTAAAGGTAAATGTAAAAATAGCAATAGTTTATAGTATTTGTGTATGCAGTTTTGTTTTCAATGCTTTAATTTTATTTTTGTGTCATATAAGATGCTCTTTGTCAAATTTATGAATGCATCCAAAGTATGAATGTCCTCCCAGAAGAGAACTTGTTAGTAAGTCAGGGATGTAGTATACAATTAATTTTGCCTCTTCTACATGGGAAGAAATAAAGAAGCAGCGAGGTGAAGCCCATCGCCCAGGATCACACAGAAGAAATGGGTCAGTGCATCCATGCTGGAGACTACAGTGTCACAGGCCTACCACAGGCTGTGATCCTTGAAGACCCGAGCACACTTGTGGAAGCGATGGAAGTCACTGAGCACAAGGGCTGTTCGCAGTCCCACTCTGGGTTACCAGGCGACTGTTACTGGTCCTGTAATGTCACATTGCAGGGCACAGCAGACATCGGGCTCTATGTCTTCACTGAGTGCTGAGTGCTTACATCAACTAAGCCAGATAGCAAGAATCTCTCTCCTCGTGGACCCCCAGCAACTTCTGCTGGCTACACTGTTAGGGGCTGAGGTTTGGATTCGGCAAGCCTTTTGCTTTTCATTCTTTTATAATGTTGGAGGTCCTGGGATTTAAAATTTTGTTTTCTTTGCAGTGCTGGGATTGAACCTAGGTGATGTGCATGCTAGGCCAGGGCTGTGCCTCTGAGCCACAACCCCAGCCTGAGGCCCTGAGTATTAACGGGGCCCAGGGCTGCCCATGTTAAAGGCAGCACTGTAGCTGTTGGGCCTCGAGCAAAGGACGTCACTGTTGTGCTTCACTTTCTCAGCTAATGCATGAAACTGTGATCACTGTAGCACCCTGGCAGAGAGAAGAGGATTAACAGCGCTTAGAACAGGGCCTGGTACAGAGTGTGAACAACGATGTTCACTTGGAGCTACTGGTCTGCAGGGAAAATAGGAGGAAATATTTTCTGATGCTGTTCACCTGGCCAGAGCAGAAGTCCTCAGGATCTGTGTTGTCACCAACAAGCTCTTACCAATCTCCTCCTCCCATTCTAGGGGAAGAGGAGAAGGGCCCTGTCTTCCCCTTCTTGGGATCAATCTGCACGAGGAGAGTTTTCTGCTTTGAGAGCTTCAAACCTAAGAAAGAAGCTGGCAAGGTCTTTACAAATACACATACTCCTCAATTTACAATAGGGCTCCAAACCCAGAAACCCCTCATAAGTTGAAAACATAATACCATGGAAAATGCAGCTAAGCACTGGGCTGCAGAACGTTGGAGCTGAGCAATGCGGTCCACAGCAAAGACCCTGTGGTTTCCCAGACACAGTAGCCAGGCCTGGGTACCTGAGGCTCAAGGAACAGAGGCCTCATGGGATCAGGAGAATCTCTTTCCCAGGAATGAGATGTTCATTCCTCTCTAAGGAATATCTTGGTTCTGCTAATTGTAGACAGGTGATAGGTGGAGAAGCAGAGCTAACCCTTTACTTTACCATGTCTGACCTACATGGGACTTTGATCCTGATCAGCCCGTGTGATGGCTTGTTCTGGAGAAAGCCGAGCCAAAAGCTTCGTGCAAAAGGAGATGAAAACGGGACCTTAGGCCCAGGGAAAGCTTCTGGGACAGCAGGGGAAGTTTTGCTAAGATATGGTTGAAGGAGCAATAAGGTAAACCTGGGTAAGACAAAGCCGGTAGGATCGTTCAACTATGACATCCTCACTAATCTGCATATTCCGCCTCCTGCTTCCCATTTCTGCCTTTTGCGAAGAGAATCCTCTAATAAATTGTGGAGAAATTGGCAACTGGGGCCTCAGTTCCAGATGCGATCCCCCAATCCCAGAACTTCCTCTCTTGTTTTCTTTTCATCCGCCACACCTCATTACAGGGACCAGTCACCTCACAGAAAACAGTAGTTATATTTCTGGTGCTTACAAAACTGAGCCCACCCCATCTCCTGGGCTCCTATGGGCCCTCTTCTAGGTCAAACTTCCCTGCTTGCAATTCCAGGGGTTGATTTCAACTTGGCTGAGATGTCATCATTTTTGTGTATGAAAACCACTACACAAGGATCCCAGGAACCTTTCCGTTCCACCTCACAATAAAGTGTTCCCATTGGGGTCAATTTGAAGCCCTCTAGCTGGGAAGAAATAACTCCCCTCTTACCACATGCACAAGGGCAGATCTGGGGTTGAGTTTGCTCACCCTCTGCATGTCCTGCTTTGGTCCCAGAAAGCTTGGCTGTGCTTTGTTTCCTTATTCTTGACTCTCGTGTGACAGCCCATACGAGCTGTGGCTGAGGAGGGATGGTGACAGGCATCTATAAGAGTTGCAAGAGGGCCTTTCCCAATAAGACAGCACTCACACAGCAGGCAGACTCGGGCACTTCCAGGCCTTTGGAGGCTCAGGCAGGAAGAACCATTCAAGTCCAGCCCAGGCCACTTGGCAACTTAGCAAGACACTGTTCCCAAATGAAAACCAGAATGGACTGGAATGTGGATTGGACCAAAGACTCTGACTGTCAGTGGATTCTCTGTTCTGAGCGTGGCCACACTCCTCCCTCGCAGGTAAGGGAGGGGAGAGAGAGAGAGAGAGAGAGAGAGCCAGCCAGCCAGTGGTTTCCAGTTGAAAATGAAAAAAGACTTTTAGGATTGTAAAGAGAAGCATATTACCATTTACTGACAATGATAATGACCATCCATAACAAAGATGAACAGCCTCAGACACACCTAAGAGTGAAGCTGGAAAGGAATTATAAATTTAAAATGCCAATGGAAACAGCTGTCTGAAATAAGAAGCCAGCTCATAACTATCATAACTGTCCCAGGAATCCAGAAAGGAGTACAAAGCAATTCAACAACCAGTGTAGATGGAAGTCTAAGTGCCACATATGCAGAATAGGAATACAAGGCCCTGCCTACATAAAGTGCCCCATCAAAGAAACCTAATTATGAAGACATCACCATCTTCTCTGATTTCAACTTTTAACATAGCTCAGATGACCACCACTAGCGACAAGCATCTAATAAACCATGGGAGACAATTGTGATTACCTCAATAAATCCCAATCCTGAGTCCAGTGAGAATATTTTGGGGTTTCATGAAACAAGAGGGAACTCTTACATCCTTGGAATTATCTTTCAGGGGCTTCCTAGTGATACAGGGGAAAATCTAACTCCCAACCACTAGCTGTCAGAAACACCCAGTTCACTCTCATGAAACTGAAGAATTAATTATATGGAACAAAGATTAAGAGCAGGGAGATTTTATCGAGAGCTCTCTGTTGAGTGACAGCAGGGGATCTGAGAGTGCAGTGCCTCCAAGGCCACTTTTCTAAGAGTGTTTTATCGAACAAAGTCACTGGATGGGTGCATAGTCATAAAGTGAGTACAATGTGGATCAAACTATAATCATCAATAAGATGGCAGGTGGAGCCAAGATCTAATAATGATCAATAGGGAAGCAGGTCGTGTAGCAAGATTACAGGGAAAGAAAAGGGGCATTTTTAGGAAAGGGCGACTATGTCCAACAAGTTAAAAAACCCAAATATGTTGATAATCTGCCTTCTACTTCTGTAAATTGGCTTAATGATGACAAGATGGACCTACCTCCAAGCCCTACCCACCACCACCACCCCAGCTCTTATCTTTCTCTTCACACCCAGTCCGTTTGCTTTCAGTCTTTCCTCCCTTGAAGAGCTGCCAAATGTGTTGGTATATCTTTCCTTGTAACATCCAGTTTGAACGGAGACAGCTGTGCTGGTGTGAAAGGCAGTAGAGGCCACACGGGTAGATTAGAGATGGAACTCTACAGTGTGGCACTCCAGGTGAGTGTGGAGATGGCCTGGCGTGAGCTGGCTGCACAGTCAGGGACAGCCACTGAGGGTCTCAGAGTGAAGGACTGGGTTGAGGGGCTGGAGGAAAAGGAGGCCAAGAGACCCCAAGAGGGCAGAAATGCCAGAGGAGCCCATGTGATGCTGGTCCTGCTCCATGGCCTCTCAGCCCTGGGTCCTGGAATGACCTACACGTGTTAAGGTTTAATAGCTCACAGTCTACGGAGGTTACAGTCCATCACTGGCTGGCTCTAAGGCAGGGTGGCTTGGCAGGGGAGCATCACAGAGGAAAACAGTTCCTGGCCCCCATGAGGTAGTAACAGCAACAGAGAACCTTAATAGCCCTAACATGTGGGACTGGGGGCTTTGCCACTCCAGGCTTGGGCCCAACTGTCCATGTCCCTCTCTGCTGGGTATTTTGTCTGTCCTTCCACTGTCTGTTGTCCTGTGATCCCTCAAAGGCATGCAGAGCAGTGGGTATCACTGTTAACTTTTTCTCAAAGAGGGAATGTCGGGTCGTGGCTCCCTTTTCACAACTATGACCCAAACCCAAGAGGATTCTTCTGCTTTTGCTGTTGATGTTGTAGGCTGTAGCCAAATATTACATCATCCACCTTAACTACTATGAGGATTGGATCAGTGGGGTCCCTGACTGCTAGGGCTGGCAGCTATGCAGTTGCCCCCTTTGAGTCCTGAAATGCAGTTTGTGCTGTCAGCCTTATCATTTCCTTCTGGGTCACCTCTAATTGTGCTGGGAATTATTTCAGTCTTATCAGACCCATAAAGACCCAGGTATTTGGCAGATAAGCCAGTTCCCTAGCCCCTGTTCTCATCCGCAGCCCAGCCCCGGCCAGTAGAGCTTCCTTCAGGCTGTGCACAGTGGCTTTCGAATCTGCAAGGCAATCAGAAGTTCTCGTGATATGAAAGAATGAAGTAGTGACAGAGAGTGTGACTTGACCCACGTAGTCAGACCTGGACACCAGACCATGCCACAAGGTGGGGCTATCAAATAGCTTTGTGGCAACATCTGGAATAACCACTGCCTGCCCTCCTAGGGTGCAGGCAAATTGGTCCTGACTGCCAGCGTCACTGTGAGATTTCACAGGCACACTCTAGGACCTGTCTAGTTTCTGCACAGGCCTTAATAAAGGGCTTGTGCAGCACATAATTCACCTGGTTTTTCCAATTTCAAGTTTGTGAGTTCTATCTTTTCATGACCTCCATGTAGTAGGTACTGGTATGGACATTCTCAGACTTCAGCTTTTGAAAACAGCCATATGCTAGCGGAACTCCTGGGTGAAGTGTTGAGCAGGGCACCAGTCAGTCTGTCCAGCCCAGAATACACTTAGCCACTGGGGGAACCTACACATCAGAAGGGCAGGGAGCCTTGGACAGTCTGGAGCTCTCATTGTCCAAGCGCTGGGGACTGGCCCGGATCTGACAACGCTGACTGCAGAGTGGGCTCTCGAAGTTTTTCTGTCACTGGTGGATCCTGTGACTGGTTCAGTGGCACTAGAAGCGTGCTTTCTTTTATCACAGCAGAGCTCAGCCCAAGCACCAGCCTCACACTCAGGCCTGCAGGACCTGGTGGTGTGCACCTGGACCATCAAGTGTTTTACAGCTGCCTCCAGGCTGCAGCTGACACCTGGGTTCCCAGAGGCTCAACATACCCACTACCAGTAATTTTCCCCCTGTACCATGAATGCCCATTTCTCCAGCAGGACTGTCCCTTTCTCTTATCTACAGCTAAACTTGCAGCCAGCTGTCAGGTATGTGCATGTCTTCCACCATCTGACCTATGTGGACCCATAGTGAGTCCTTGCGTTGTTGGCCTCTGTTTGCCTTTGGGCCACCCAACTTATGTAATGTTTGTCTCCCCATTCCCTGTAACTCCTTGGCTGCATAGAAGGGATAGAACCGGGCAGTCCTTCATGCCCATCACCCTACCTAGGGCTCTTCTCCTAATGCTACCTTCTGCTGAATAACAGTCACCCAGAAATACAGGAGACTCTCCCAGGAACCTAAGCTTAGGAAGGTGGCCCTATTTCCTGCATCCACAACCTGGCTCTCATAGCAACCAGCTGCTATTTCAAGTTCTCCTCAGTCCAGTGCAATGGGATGGGGTTCCTGGCACAGCCAGCGTGTCCTAACATGGCCAGCATGTCCTCACACCATTGCTATCCCCCCTGTGCACTTAGGCCAACTGTGGCATGGACTGTTAGGTGTTAGAGTACTTGACAGTTGCTGGCCAGAGGGGGAGCAGTGCCTGGACCACCTAGCTCCCATGCCTGTGTGTCTGTGCACCCATGCCTGCCCCTTGATGGTTGCCTTGGGGCTCTTCCCTACGTCATCACCTGGGCTGAGCAGGGCTGTCACTGGGGTGATACATGGAGTTGGTCATGACTGTGAAATTTTCTTAGGATTCTATTTCTTGGGAGATTTTTTGATTTTTCCCGGGGCTTGGCCCTCAACCTCTTCTCATCAAGTTTGACCTTCTAAGCTGCTCTAGTGGTGACTACAGTTAACAAAGACAGGACTGGGGGAGGTGAGTTGGCACTTCATCTCTGGGGCTCTTCTTTAACATCAGTTTTGGGAGGGACACTCAGTTTTCCTGTTGACCCTGTTTGTTTTGCCCACTAGGTGACCTGTCAGGGTTCACAGGTTGAACTATTAAATTTGTGTGTGAGGTCCCAAGGAAAGCACACAGAGGTGGGCATCAGCAACACAGCAGTAGCAGGCAGTTGAGCAGAACTAGATCCACCTGCATCTCTATTGGTTAACTCTTATACAGGTTGTCATCATATATTTACATTCCCGCAGAGTGTCCTAACCATGCATGTGTGTTTACCTGTGTTATGTCTCGAAGGGTACTTACATGCCCCGAGCTTTGGGCACTTTGGAACCATACTCCACTGTATGTGAGCCCAAGTCACACCCACACTGAATTTTCCATTCTGTTTTCCACCAGATCCTAGACCAGAACTCAAAATCTATGAAAATAGATGTGGGGACAGTTTGGAGATTTTGTTTCCTATGCAAGTAGTAGCGGCAGCTCAGTGGAATCCTCTGACTCACAGAATTAAAGACAGTCCACTGTCAAGTGGATAGGCATTTTATAGTATTGATGTATATTAATAATTTTAAACAGGTACTTTTAATATTCATCTGGTCCATTGAGTGTGACCTAATTTTATAGCCTGCACTTATCACTCCAGAATGCTTTAGTGTCCAGACAAAGTTTTCTTCATGACAGTGAAGGTTGCCTGCTTTGGAACCACAAAGTTTACCCTTGGTTTCTGAACCCATGAAGCAAGTAAGGATGTGCTGGTTTCACAGGAAAGAGGTCCTACTCTTAGGCAAGTTTTATGACTCAGCTGATGGCCCAAGCCCATGACCACCGGCACAGAGTTACCTGCTGCGATGGTGGCTGTCTATGGTCACCAGCTGATCTGTCCCCATCTCCCAACAGGTCCCTCACCATATATCCATCCATGGTGGGCTGCACCCATCCAGGGTCATCACCGTGTCTGGCACTGTCCCAGAAAATGCTCAAAGGTAACACAAGACCTCCAGAGTTCTCAGGAGGAAGAGAGTCATGCCCTGGTTCCAGTGAGGTGCATAATGAGTGGGAGGGGATCACCTGACTTCAGGGCACACACAAGGTTCTGATGCATTCACTCCAGGTTCCACATCAACCTGTGCACAGAGCGAGACATCGCCTTCCACTTCAACCCTCGATTTGATCAAAACTCTGTGGTTTGCAACACTCAGATCCAGGGCATCTGGGGGACAGAGGAGCGAAAACTGCCCGTCAACATGCCCTTCAGACGTGGACAAAGCTTCACGGTGAGACGCTGCAGTCTGAGTGTGGGCACCTGGCTGGGTGCAAGGATAGCAGTGCTGAGGCTCCCTGGGGTTCCTTCAATGGGTGGGGCTGATGCTTATGGTGGGAGGACTGGGCCTCAAGGGAGAGAGAGCATGCCACCAACTCTTGTTATTTTGGGATGACGGTCTGCAGGTTCGCACAGGTTAGCATCTAATTTTTAGAGATGAACAAACCAAATCACAGGATGATTTACTGCCAAGGATCATACAGCCCATTTCTTCCCCATCTTACCCAAGTATGAGGTACCATACTCATTTATCTGCTTGTTAACTTAGCAGTCATTTATCAGCTCTTTGATTCAGCCTATGTGGTCCAGGTCATGCTTGGTGTGCAATGATGCAAGCAGGGACATGGGGACATAGATGGCACCACCCAGTCCTGCTGCCCTGGTGGCCTGAGAAGGCGTTGATCCTGTGGGAGGGACCTGTTGGGGGCAGGGAAGGCTGATGAGTGAGGCCTGGGTCCTGAGGTGCCTGGCAGTGACACAAAGGCAGAGATGCAGGCTGGAAGTAGCACTGAGGTGGGGAACCGTGGGTGCTGAGGTCTCAGGGAGGAGAGTGCAGGGTGTTTAGGGAGGGACAGGTCCTTCAGTGAGGGAGATGGAGGGGGCTGCTTGTGGGAGAGGAAGGAATGGAGAAGGAGGTGCCGCCAGCCTGCAGGAGTTTGAGGACTTTCTGCATGGGGAGTGAGTGCAAGGCCTCTCTGCCCAGGTGGCGATCACATGTGAAGCTGACCACTACAGTGTGAGCGTGGATGACCAACACCTGCTGGACTACACTCACCGCCTGCCAGAACTGCAGACCATTGTTCACTTGGAGATGGGGGGCGATTTTGAGCTTTCTAAAGTGAGTGTCTAGGTGGCCTCCCTGGCTGGTGTACTGCTGTGTGCATCTTGTCCCACTGCTCTTCCTTGCCCTGCAACAGCCTCTGGAGCCCTAGCCTCTGAGCACAGGCTGCCTCTCCCTGTAACAGCAGGCAAAGCCCAGCTCTACTCTTCCATAGTAGGGCTCCTGAGCCTACTGAGCCCCCTGCAAGGCCCACGCTGCATGCAGTTCTCAATAGCCCTCCCACCCTCTGTGCAATGCCTCTTGGGTCCCAGGCCACAGCTGTGCACTGCAGTGATGAGGGGACCTGCACAGACTCCCCAACCCAAGCCTGTGACCTTAGCCTCTCTCCTTGGCTTAGCACCCTGCTGCCTCCCAACCCCTCTGGGAAGGCTGCTTGGAGACATCCCGCTGACTTCTCCCAGCCCACCAGAACTTTCTCAGAGAAGGCTCCTCCCTTTCCTGACAAACTTAAAATAAAGAGAACACTGTCCTGCTGCCACCATGACTGACTTTTTCATTGCTGTGCCTGGAAACATTCTGAATTTTCCAGAAGTGGGGGTCTCTGAGGCCAGGACTTGAAGCTGAGGTGTTATGCTCAGGGCACCCCACTGCCTGGGAACAGAGTACAGGGTTCAGACAGGAACCTGAGAGACTCAGCAGAGCCCTTCCCTACCAGGGCACACAGCATGGTCACACCAGTCCCTGTTCCTTGTGACCCGGGATGTTTGGTCCTGTGGAGGGGCCTGCTCACTGGAGAAGCATCGAGATGACGCATGGGGAGTGCAGTGGTCAGCAGCTCAGACGCCCAGCAGCTCTCTGAGTTGCCTGACCTGAGTCCAAGCTCTGACATGTCCCTGCTGTGTGGCCTTGGGGAACATGCTCCCCTCACTGTGTCTTCATTGCTTCCCCAGTAGAATGAGCATCATGAACTTAGCTCATTCATAAAGGTAGCAGAGAATTACATGTGTTGCATCCAGAAAGGTGCAAGATGACCACATAATCCCTGACACTCCTCAGGGATTCCTTAACAGCACCAAAACTTGCAGCGTGCTTCTTCCTCCTACACCCTCATAGGCCCAGCTCGATGTCATCCCTGTGTAGTATGAGCTGCTTAAATCAGGTCCTCCTGGTACCCAGAACCCAAGAGGATCCCAGCACCTGGCGAATGACTGTGGCTGTCACTGTACTTCTCAGATGCTTCCGGTCTCATGCTTCCTTCTCAATTCTTGCCTTCCTCAATCAGGGTATGAACATTAGTGGGTCTTGTATGATTCAATGTGCCAGAGGTGGCCCTGCAGGCTCTCTGGGAGGTTGTATAAAAATTGACAAAGTGCACCACACTCCACTCAGACTCTCTGCTGGAACCCAGCCACTAGGAGCAGCCAGAGGAAAAGCCCACTTTTGAAGTTCCAGCCCTTCTCCAACATACTTCTTAGCTGCCACCAAGAGCCATAGGTGGGCAAGTGAGCAAGGAGTGTGCCGAGGATTTCCACCCTGAGCACCAAACTCAAAAGCCTGCAAGATTCCTGCTTCACTGTCTTTTGGACCCTATTCTGTGCAAACATCCTTCCTTATCCTCAGTGGGCACCTTGCCTTTAGGGCTCAGAGAGGTCTTCTGGGGCTGGCACCTGCTGATAGCTGCCTCTGCCTCTTATGGCAAGGCAGCTGGTGCCAGTGGGAGGTCCCTAAGGGCTCTGAGGGACATCAGCACGTCTTCTCGACCAGGCCTTGCTGACGTGCACTGGTGGCAAGCTGAGCACAGCTCTGTAGCCTAAGTCCTGCTCCTCCCACTGTCCCTACCTCTCCTTTTACCTGAAGTCCTGCCTGCTTTCTCCTCTGAGCCTTCTTTCTGCTTCCTATACTCTACATAAGAGTCCTCACTCTGCTCAGGTGTAAGTTCTGCAGCTGGGAGGAAATGACCTCCACATCACGCCTTGTGTAGAAGCCTAGGGCTGGGGTGCAGGGAGATCAGCCTTAGAGGGTCCTGGAACTGGCCTTGTAAAGCCTGGTTGTCCCTTGTTATCCCCACGTTGGCTCCAGTGTGACAGCCTATGTGAGCCTTGGCCAAGGGAAGATGGTGAGAAGTCAGTGCAAGGGCAGGAAAAGGGATTTTTTGAGAAGACAGAGCTCACTGTTCATAGTGGCACAGGCTGGTCATTCAAACTCTTAGAGGCTGAGGCAGGAGGATCCATAGTGCAAGTCCATCCTGGGCAATGTGTCTATTTAGCGAGATCCTGATTTCAAATGAAAACCAGAGTGTGCTGGGATGTGGATCGGAGCTCAGGCTTTCGGGCTGTCTGAGGATGCTCTGTCCTGAGCACGGCCACGCTCCTCACTCACATTTCTGGGTGGCGAGATGGTGACACTGCAGGGGCCAGACCAGATTGAAGATGCTCCCAGGACTTCATTGAACAATCTCTGCTCAGCAGTAGATGATGTCCCTATTTTTCCTCTCTTTTTGCCACACATATTACAGGGCTTTTATTTATTTATTTATTTAGTTAGTTTTTGCTTATGACCTTTCCAAAGTTTTGAAATGTTTTAGAAATTCACTGAGACTTGGGCCTCTTTGCAGCCATTTTGTTGTGATGGAAGTTGTTTTACAGATAAATGACAAGCACAGTACTTCAGTGTATGGTTTTTATTTGTTTTTGTGGTGACTAGGATTGAACTAAGGGCTTCACTAATGCTAGGAAAGTGCTCTACCGCTGAGCCAGACACCACTCTGAATGTGGAGGATGCGGTGATTTTTAAGAAGTGCATACAAATAGCCCCCCCACCCCACTCCTGCAGAGATACAAGATGTTGCTGTTACCCAGGGGGCTGCCGGAGTCCTGCTCCACTCAGAAGCAAAGCTTGCAGGGTTTCCCTCATTGTAGAAATCATAAAATGAATTTAATGGGTGCAAGAAATTGTATCAAACTAGCAGCAATCATGTCAAACAAAAAACTTTTTATTGATAGGAAATTGTATTTTTCAGCTATCCAGTTTGCAAATTTTTGCTAGACAGCTTAGAAGTAAATCCACATATGTAAAATAATTGAAAAGCTCAATTGAAGCATTCATATAGAAAAATGATCTAATATGTTACAAAATATGAACTAGATTAGTTTGACATGGTAAAAATAGCATGCATCTTTGATACTATATTGAGAAATTCTGATTTTATTCCATTTAGTTTCTGAAATATAGGAAAGATAAAGTAGACTTCATGAAAATGAAAAACTTCAGGCTCATTCTCTGGCTGAGTTTAGAGCACTTAGCTATCAGGTGAGAGGCTCTTGGTTTGATCCCTCGCACTGCAGAACAAAATCAAAACCAAAACCGAACTTCTGTTGATCAGCCTGCTAAAATAGCTACAGCTGAAAAGGCAGACAACATGGAGTGTTGGCAAGGTCCTGCTACACCTGGAACCTCACGCGTTGTTCATGAAAGTGAAAAGTATTAAGCTGCTTTGGAAATTGGCCTCAAAGTTTCTCCTAAGGTCAACACAACCTTCCTGAAAATTCTACAACTCACTAATTCTAAGGTAAGTAGAATGACCTCTCCTCACAGAGGCGTGGCTGAACATTTCTCAGCAGCTTCAAATGTAACTGCCCCTAATGTAGATCGTCTTAGTGTCCATCAGAAAAGCAAACAGGCAGGACAAATATATCATGGTGTTGCCAGGCATAGAATCCACTCAGTACAAATTACACAAAAGCGCATCATAGGTAAATCTCAAAATTATCATACCACAAAAAGAAGACAAACACAGAAGTGCACGCAATGAATGCTTCCATTTAGAGGCAGCCCTAGGACCCAAAAAGTAATCATAGACACTCAAATAGAATACTGACATTCTCTCTGTCAGTGCTTCTATTGTCCCACTAAGTTTTTTTAAAGACTTTATTCTTGGAGTGTTCCTTGCTGCAGGCTTCTGTAGTCACCATGACTACAACACAGCAGTCACCTCAAGATGAATAGGAGAAATTCTTGCATGAAGCCATACAGGCTGTAAAGGTTTAGTCATTCCAGATGAACAAATGCTTGGAGAAAAACAAGCTTATGGATGCTCTGAAACATGCATCTAATATGCTTGGTGAACTCTGGGCTTTCATGTTACCACCAAAGAGCTACCATGAACTTTATATTGCTATTTCTGATGAACTGCACTATTTGGACTTCTACTTGGCAGATGAATTTGCTAAAGGAAGGAAAAAGGCGGATCTCTATGAACTTGTAAAATATGCTGGAAACATTATCCCAAGGTTTTATCTGTCAATCACAGTTGGAGCTGTTTGTGTCAACTCATTTCCTCAATCCAGGAAAGATATTTTGAAAAATTTGGTGGAAATGCACCATGGTGTGCAGCATCCACAAAGGGTTTATTTCTTCAAAATTACCTTCTTCAGTGTACCATGAATATTTTACCAAGGAGAGCCAACAGATGAGGAATGAGCTGGGGATTCAGTGATTCCGTGGATTTTGTACTCTTTAACTTCGCAGAAATGAACAAGTTTTGGGTGCAGATGCAACATCAAGGACATAGCTGAGATAAAGCAAAAAGAATGGGAATGACAAGAACTGAGAATGTTAGTAGGAACAAATTATTGCCTCTCAGTCAATTGGAAGGTGTGAATGTGGAACACTACAGACAGATTGCCTTAACTGACATATTGGAGCAGGCTGTGAATTGTAGAGATGCTTTGGCTCAGGAGTATCTTGTGGAGTGTGTTATTCAGGTTTTTCCTCATGAATTCCACCTCCAGACTTGGAATCCTTTTCTTTGGACCTGTGCTGAGTTACACCAAACTGTAAACATGAAAAATATAATCATTGCTTTAATTGATAGATTAGCTTTATTTGCACATTGTGAAGCTGGACCTAGGATCCAAGCAGATATTAAACATTTTTATATATTTTCACAGCAGGTGGCTACATTAATACAGTCTAGGCAAGGCATGCCTTCAGAGGATGCAGTATCTTTACAGGTCTCTCTCATTAATCTCACTGTGGAATGTTACCCTGATCGGGTGGACTATGTTGACCAAGTTCTAGAAACAACAGTGGAGATATTCAATAAGCTCAACCTTGAACATATTGCTACCAGCAGTGCAGTTTCAAAGGAACACACCAGACTTTTGAAGATACCTGTTGACATGTACAAGAATATTTTGGCAGTCTTGAAATTAAAACATTTCCACCTGCTCTTTGAGAACTTTGACTACGAGCCCAGAAAGAGTATGAGTTGTTATCTGCTTAATGTTCTGGATTATCATACAGAAATTGTCTCTCAAGGCCAGGTGGATTCCATAATGAACTTTGTGTCTACGTTGATTCAGGATCAGCCAGACCAACCTGTAGAAGACCCTGATCCAGAAGACTTTGCTGATGAGCAGAGCCTTGTGGGCCAGTTCACTCATCTTCTTCTATCTGAGGACCCTGATAAGCAGTACTTGATCTTAAACATAGCATGGAAGAATTTTGGAGCTAGTGAAAATCAGCGGATTTGCTTCACACTGCCACCCTGGTATTTGCAGGCTTACTGGCTGGCTTTTCGATACAAAGGGAATTCTAAAGTGGATGACAAATGGGGGGAAAATGCAGGAAGATTATTTTGTTTGCTCACCAGACTATCAGTGCTTTGATCAAAGCAGAGCTGGCAGAATTACCCTTAAGAATTCTTCTTCAGGGAGCCCTAACTGCTGGTGAGATTGGCTTTGAAAATAATGAAACAGAAGCATGAATTTATGTCCCAGGCACTTTCCCTGTATGAAAATGAAATCAGTGATTCCAAGCACAGCTGGCTGACATCCTATTGGTCACTGGCACTTTGGAGAGGATGAAATGCTTCAGTGAAGAGAATCATGAACCCTTGAGAACACAATGTGTGCTTGCTGCATCCAAATTTCTGAAAAAGCCCAATCAGGGCCAAGCAGTGAGCACCTGTGCGCATCTCTACTGGTCCAGGAGAAACACAGACAAAAATGGGGAGGGGTTTCATGGGGAGAAGAGGGTGCTGGAGTGCCTAAAGAAAGCTCTCAAAACAGCAAATCAGGGCACGGACTCCTCTCTACAAGTATAGCTTTTTATAGAAATTCTGAACAGATGAATCTATTTTTATGAAAAGGAAAATGATGCGGTAACAATTCAGGTGTTGAACCAGGTTATCCAAAAGATTCAAGAAAACCTCCCAAATCTTGAGTCTGGTGAAGAAACAGAGCAGATTAACAAACATTTTTGTAACACGTTAGAGCATTTGTGTTTGAGGCGGGAATCACCAGAGTCTGAGGGGCCAACTTATGAAGGTCTTATCCTTTAAAAAAGAAAATAGCTCATTCCTTTCCATGTCCATCTAGTAAGAGTTTTATTAAGCTAGGTCTCCATTCTGTGGATTGTGCCTTTCAGAAATGCTGAGGTAGGTTTCCTGCTTCTGATCTGTGATGTGTTTCACCCAGCACCTCCAGACACCTTCAGGACTTTAATAAAGTTATTCACTTCATAAGTGTTCAAATCCTTCTGATCACCCAAGTAGCATGACTGATCTGCTATTTAAAATTCCTGTAGTCTGTGAAAAGTGAAATGAAAACTCGCCACTTAATCCTGACTACTAATGAAGTTCTTCCTTTTGTTTCTTTGTTGAGTGTGTAATTTTCTTCATTTCTGGGGAATACTAACCCACAATGTATCTATTTCTTTGCTTTCTGGACCTATTTGAGATTAATTTAGAGGTAAGAAATGCTGGATGTGAAATTGAGCTTGGGAAATTCCCTAAACACAAGATAAGGCCATGTGTAATATTTTCCCTAAAACCTTAATGCATGTTTGAGATTCCCAAAACACCATGGTCAAAAAACAGAAGCTATATTTTGAATATTTGAACTTAGCCATCTATTAATAATTTATGTTGTCCTCTGGACATATTTATAAAAACAATTTGGCTCTACATAGCATAAAATAGAAAATTTGTGATTTATCTATAACCATCATTATTGTAAATTTAATGGGAAATGCATTACCGTTACCATGATCTTTTTTTTTTTTTTTCTGGCACTTGTAACTCTATAAAGTTCCTATTAACACAAAAAAGTCACAACCACTTTATTTCTATTGCACATGGCGTGTAATTAGTGAACATGAAAGTTACCAGCCTAGAAAAGCTGGGTGTCGTGGTGCATGCCTGGAAGGCCAGCTCTCTAGGAGACGGAGGCAGAAGGATCACAAGCTCTACCTCAGGCTTAGCAACCTTGCAACAAGGAACAAAAGAAGGGAAAGAAAAGAAAGGTCCTCAGTTCCATCCCCACTTCAAAAATAAAAGAAAAACTTTATGCAGCAAATGTACAATAGTGATGTCTGATGTCAAAATCTCTGTTCTTCTAAATTCCATTCTCTCTCTATAACCATTCAAATATTTTGTTTTTCTATGATAATGTCATATTTATACCAGAATATATGTATATCCCTTTTAGAACACTTGCATAATCCTGTGTAGTGCTCTTTTTGCACTGAACCGTATACTAAGGTAGGTATATTACCACACACCAGCATGTTTATGTATCTCTCAATGGCTTGGAAAACATCAGAGTATTTTACTATTTAGAAGTACAAAATTACTTCACTATTCCCCAAAATGCTTGTATAATTTTTCATGGCAGAGAAGTTGGGGCAGCAGAGAGTGCCGGAGACAATGCTTTAACCCCCAGACTCACACCTCATCCATATCTTTGTTGTCCTGTAATAGTGAGTCTGTGGAAAACACTTGTTAAGTTGGCATTTATCTTAGAAGTCCTGTAACAAAACTTATTTTTAATTTTGATAACATGATTCAATTGTTCTCTGAAGTTGTTTGACCATTAATACACCCAACAGAAACGTATCTACTCAGTCAGTAGGAATAACTGAACTTTGATATACATGAGATTATAATGTAACTTTATGGCTTTTAAAATCTGCATTATTTATTTTTGCCAGCATTGATTCATTTAATGATTTTGTCAGTATAGGTTACTAAATTAATTATCATAAGTACAGATTTAACAGCTAGGCTAACAGGCAAAACCCCATCAAAGTTCCATGAGAAAATTACAATAAATTAAGATGCACTTTAAAATAGATTGCCTATGCTGGATTATGATATGATTTATTTTGCCAGGTGTGGTGGCCCATGCCTGAAGTCCCAGCAGTCAGGAGGCTGAGGTAGGAGGACTGAAGTGATTTAGAGGCCAGGCTGGGCTGCATCATGAGTTCAAGGCCAGCCTGAACTGCATAGTGAGACTGACTCAAAAAAATATTTTTTTCTTTCTTTTCCTGATGCTCTGTCTTTCATCCTGCACTTTCTCTCTAGTGGGTGTGCTACATAAGAGAAACCACGTGGTACTTACACTTGTGTGTCTGATTATCTTCACTTAGCATTATGGTTTCAAGGTGCATCCATTTCCTACAGTGGCTCTAGTTTGTCCTTCTTCCTGGCAGAGCAGAGTTCCTTTGTGTGTAGATGTTATGCTTTCTGTCCTCATTCACCTGTTGACAGGCATGTAGGCATCTTTCAAGACTTAGCTCTTGGGAATGGTGCTGCGATGTAAAGGACCCTACTCCCGTCTCTGAGATAGGATGTCTTCAACTCTTTGGGCAGCTGGTTACATGGAGAATAGCTGGGTCAAATGGGATTTGGGATTTAGTGTGCTGTGGAATCTCCACACTGGGTTCCGTAATGGTTGTACTAGGGCGCACGCCCGCCAACAGTGAGGCAGGGCTCATTTTTCCACACAGCCTCTCCAGTATGTGTCCTTGTATGATTTCTTCATGGAAGCCATTCTTCCTGGGGCAAGATGGAATCTCAGTGTTGTTTTGATTTCCATTTCTCGAGTGGTCAGCGATGTTGAAGTGTTTTAGGTATTTATTAGCCTTTGAACCTCTTCCTATAAGAAGTCTGCTCATTTCAGATGCCTATTTCTTACTGGGTCTTTAAGTTAGGGAGGGTGAAATGTTTCGAGTTCTTTATGTATTCTAGATATTTTTCCTTTGTTTGAAGTGCAGCTTACAAAGTGTTTCTCTATTCTGTAAGTTATCTGTTTACTCTTTGGTGGTTTCCTTTGCTGTAAAGAAGCTTTTCAATTGGAAGTGACTCCACTGGTTGATTTTTGGTGTAATTTTTTGTGCAGCTTGATGTCTGCTCAGAAAGTCAGCCAGTGTCTATGTCTTCAGAAGGTTTACCTCTTTTGTCTTCCATCAGATTGTGTTTCTGATTTAATGTTCAGTTATATCTTTGATGCCTTTTGATTATATTTGAGTGCACGGTGAGAGATACAGGTCTGGGTTCAATCCTCAACATGCTGGTTGCCAGATTTCCCAGCACCATTTGTTAGAAAGGCTCCCTTTCCTCCAGGTAAAGCATTTGGCTCCATTGACAGATGCCAGGTAGCTGAGTGCTGGGATTTGTTTTTGTATTCTTTCTTGCTCCCTAATGAACAGCAAATCTTTTTGTTGCCAATATCATACTGCTTTTATCACTGTAACTATAACAGGAAATCCAGGATTATCATGTCTCATGTCTAGCCCTTGTTCCCCAGCCTTGCTTTGCTATTGTAGGTAATTTCTGATTCCATAAGAATTTCAATATTTCTTTCTGTAGTTCTGTGAAGAATGTAATTGGTATTTTGATTGGGATTGCATCAAATCTATGTAACAGTATCAGAAGTATCATCATAGTGACTATATAGGTTCTGTCTATCCAGGAACAGGGAATGTTTTCAAATATCGCCTTGGATCTCCTTTTTTTTATACTGCAGTTGTTGGAGTAGAGGTCCTTCACTTCCTTGGTTATGCTAATGCCTAAATTTTCATTTTTATGGATGCTATTACAAGAGGTATTTTTTCCTTAATTTCTTTCTCGGTGAGCTTGCTATTGGTGCCCTGGAGCACTCCTGAGTGTTGACTTTGTGTTGCGCTACGCCACTGAGTTTGGTTATTAATTATAGCAGTCTTCTGGGAGTTTGGGAAGATCTGTATGTGGAGATTCACATCATTTGCAAAAAATGGCAGTTTAATTTCTTCCTTTCTTTCCTATCTCCCACTTATTTCTTTTCTTGGTTAATTGTTCAGCTAATGTTTCAAGAACTATACTGAAGAGGAGCAGGGATCGTGGGCATCCTTGTCTTGTTCCAGATTCTAGAGGGAAGGCTTTTAGCTTCTCTCCACTTAGTATGATGTAGACCATTGCTTTGTCTTAGAGGGCTTTAAAATCTGCATTACCATGATCATGAGAATCTATTTTGTGCATTTATTTTGCTGAAGGCTGCCTTTAAATTTATATGCATCATCTTTGATTTTTTTAAAAAAAAGTATTTGGTGCAGGGTCTCACTATGTAGCTTGCACTCATAGTGATCCTCCTGTTTTCAGCCTCCCCCATGCTGGGATTACAGTTGTGCACCACCATGCCTGGACACTGTGGTCAGCTCAGTGTACCCGGGGGTGAGGCTGGCACTACATTTGGTGCCAGGAATCAAACGCTGCTCCTTGTGCTTGCCTAAGCAGGCACTTTCGTCTGCTGAGCTATCTAGCTGGCCCCATCTTTAATCTTTGAATTCTGCTTATTTGTAAGGACTGTTTGTGTCAAGTTAATTAGTCTTCAGCAACATGACTTCTGATTTTAACACTTTAGTTTTGTATGAACACACATACGTAAGTGTATGTAATGCTTTTCAGTCCAAAGAATGCATCTTTTTTACATTATAAAATTTGGTAGCCTTTCCTTTCTGTTTTCTATTGTGTGCTCTACTTAGATAGATCTTCTACCTTCCAAGTTTGTATTTTTTACTTTTTTTTTTTTTTTTTTTTTGTGGAGCCAGGGATTGAACTCAGGCTGTTATGCTTGCCAGGCAAGCACTTACTCAACTGAGCTATCATGCAAGCCTTTATTTTTTAAAATAACATATTTTCTTCTGGTTATTTCATGCTTTACCTTTTTAAATGTTGGTATTGGAACTTCTGCTCTATTTGAGTTATGGAGAAATCTTGTCACTAGCTAGCAGGCTTTGGTATGTCAGGGGGGAGTATATTGAGGATCTGAATGAGGGGCTCTTACCACTGAGCTGCATCTTCAGCCCTTTAAATATTATAGCTTTTAAATCAGGGTCCTTAAGTTACCTGGACTGGTCTTGAGTTTGGGACTCTCCTGCCTCAGGCTCTTCATTAGCTGTGCTCACAGCCCTGTGAGACTGCACTAGGTTGTTTGCTCTGTGTAGCAGTATTTTTCCTAGCAGTGAGGAGACTGAGCACATTCTGAAAAACTCTCATTCTGGACTGTAGGGAACAGATAGCAG